ATATATAGGTGTTTTTGCGTCCCATCGTCAGTGCCAACCTTTGCTGAAAGGGACACAACCTCTCAGCAGAAGTACAGAGATATTTCGATACAAATCGCCCCACATGGGAATCGAAGTCGGATCATTCTGTGTGTGACAGCAAAGCGCCTAATTGCTAGCCTATACCACAGAGATCATTAGGAAACTCAACTATACATTATATTATCATACAGTATAAGACAGAAGTGATGAACAATAAGTTAGAAACAGGATGAGTCGTTTATGTCTTGTGGAAGAAAAAAAATGTTCAGGAAACAAATGAACAAATTGTCATTACTCCCCCCAACCCGCCCCCCTTAAAAAAAATGAAGCCAAGACCAATTCTAAAAATAAACTACTAAGTTATTAAAAACATGCAGCCATCCACAAATGACAAACAAACACAAAGTCGTCAGACAAACAGTCTCACCATGTATGAGATATGGATCTCGCGGGTCTGGTTTGAATCCCTTCTCCTCAGAAGTAGAAAGTACAGGGGCGACAACTCCATATGCCGCCACCAGGTACACCAGAAGCCACCACGCTACGCCAGGCTTCATCTTCATCAGTCGCCTCACAGACCAGGCCGGTCCTTCTCGGTCGTTGTCCTGGGGGAGATAATGAGGCTGTGTCGTGTTCTTTTCTTTTCACTTGTTTTCATTTATTTTGATTCTGGTTTTCTATCTTTTTTTTCGGGAGGAGAGGGTTCTATTTTTGTTGTTGTTGTTGTTGTTGTTGTTGTTGTTGTTGTTGTTGTTGTTGTCGTTGTTGTGGTGTTTTTTGTTGGTTTTTTGTGTGTTGGTGGTGGTGGTGATTTTTTAAAAATTGCTCATATATTTTTCTTTCTTTTTCTTTTCTTTTTTTTTTCCTCTGCCAATGTCATAGATTAAAGGCCTTTATATCAGTAATGCAGCTCTCTGTAGGAAGAAAAGTCAAAATTGCCCACAGCGACAACCAATTGTCTAGACGAAAAGTGGTCGTCTTGGACAGGTAGGTATCTTGGTGAGTGTTTATCAATTTCAGTTTGGTAAATATTTTACGGCACTAAAGTAATATAATGTTTTATGGTGTATAAAAACGAAAAGCGGGGAAGTGGAAAGGGGTCGTTTGTACAGGTGGTTGTCTTGACAAGGTGACCATTAGAGTAATAGTATACTACTTGACTGTTTTTAAACTTAAGACCAAACTTTTGAAATATCATAGCCGAACCTGCTCTAAAGATCATTTGTCCGTTGACAGTACGTACAATCAATCACTTCTCTTTTTACTTCTAGATTTTAAAAAAAAAGTATTACAGTGACACGGTCTTAAAAGACAACCTGTGTAAGACCACTACTG